GAGTGATGACAGGGCTGCAGATCTCAAACCTCTTTCTTCCATAAGATGCGGGAAGAAAGCTGCAGATGTGAGTTCCATGGTAAAGCACAAAGTTCTAATAGGATAGAGTCTTTATGAAGTCAAAAATACAAAAGCTTAATCTCCAGATATTCTCCATTAAATGCCATAACCACTTCCATTTGATGGCAGCAATTAGACGGAGCTGCTATTACAGACTTCAAACTTCTTCCCTAGACCGTGACAGCGTTGTTTTAGCCGTTGTCAGGTTGCTGTAGTTTTGATCCTGTCTCTGCTTGATAACCAGCAGCGTGTGATGTCGACAGTCAGTGAAATATCAGCTTTGTCAGCTGCTGCACTTTACAGCAAGTCAGCCAAGATGACTGTCAAGCCTAACAAAAATGAAAAAAGACAGAGGTGCCAAGACAATCCGAGAGGTGCTTTAAGATGTATGAGAGGGAGGGATTGTGTAGGAAGTGCTGAAATGAAGAGGTGATAATAAGAAGTGGTGAATGAGACAGAAGGTGAAACAATTTGATACTCCGCAACACTCTGCAGACAGAGAAGATGAGGTTGGTGGCCAGGACCATATGGTTCGGCCGTATGTCCCCACTGGCGAGGCTTTGCTAAAGTCCAGGACTTTCCAGGAATATCTAACCTGAGCGGGACATTAAGGAACAAAAAAATGAATAAAAATAACAAAAGTTATGTGAATTTGCATGATTGTAAAACAACAAAAACAACAAAAATAATAATAATCCAGAGCAAGTAATACAACCGTGCAGACAAAACCAAATTTGGTGAGAAAACTATTTCCAAAGAGACTATGACTAAAGAATGCACATTATGCAGATTACATTGTTTGAATAAGAGGATGTCTGTATGACTGTGTCCATTTGAACCTTTATGCATCAACAATGAATACAATGAGGAACCCAATATGTCAAAAGCATGATGCATGCTCCTTCTCTGGAATTGTTTGATTTTTATGCACCTGCAGATTATCTCCTATTGGTGTGTAGACCTGTATCTGTGCGCTCATGTCAACTTTTGTCACTTTGAGGGTGGAACCATCCTGAGAAAGTCAAACAGCCTATTATGGACAACTTTTCAGGTGTAATGCCTTAAGCTATTATATTAATTTTGGACAATAAGGAACAATGTCCAGGCTGGATTTCTTTGAAAATTGATGAAAGAAGTTTGCTGTTATTCTCTCGTAGTCTAGAGAAAATTAGTGTTTAAGGGTGTTTGTGTCTAATTCTGACTTAATAATTTGATCTTATTCATCGACTGATTCCTGTAAAGCATATAAAAGAAAAACACAGCTGTTGCTGTTGCACAGATGCTTCTTTTATGAAACAAAGTGTAGGATTTTTATATTTCTGGTCAAAATTTGATGCAATATTAAATATAATATAATTTTTCGATACAGGTCTTGTATAATTACAAAAAGAAAGAACTTTCTGGAGTACCTGTTGATCTACACTGCTGAAAAAAATTAAAGGGAACACTCAAATAATACATTAAAGGTTTGAATGAATGAATGAAATACTCTCATTGAATACTTTTTTCTGTACAAAGCTGAATGACCAGTATAAACTCAATAGAATGGAGTCCAACACAAAATTAGAGTGGAAAAAACACACTACAGGTTGATCCAACTTTGATATAATGAGGTACACTATTGTGTGTGGCCCCGCCCAGGTCTAGGGGAGGACTAAAGCATCTACCAACCCTTTGACATTGTGATAAAACGTAATGTTGGTGGATTGATGGAGACATGATGTCCCATATGTGCTCAATCGGATTCAGGTGAGGGGAACAGGTGGGCCAGTCCATAACTTCAATGTCTTTATCTTGCAGGAACTGCTAACACTCTTCGGTCACATGCACTGGCAATGCCTGCTAACATTGTCCTGCATTAGGAGGAACACAGGGCCAGCTGCACCAGCATTTGGTCTTACAAAGGGTTGGAGGATCTCATCTTGTTACCTAATGGCAATCATGCTACCTCCGGCGAGCTCATGGAGGTCTTTTCGGCCTTCCAAAGAAATGCCACTCCACACCATTACTGACCCACTGCCAAACCGGTCATACTGAAGGATGTTACAGGTAGCAGATCGCTCTCCAAGATGTCTCCAGACTCTGTTACGTCTGTCACATGTGCTCAATGTAAACCTGCTTTCATTCGTGAAGAGCAAAGTGTGCTTGTGGTGAATTTGCGAATCCTGGTGTTCTCTGGCAAATGTCAAGCGTCCTGCATTGTGTCAGTGTATTCTCATTATGAGTTCGTATGAAATCGTACGAAAAGTTATGCACCGTAATTTCGTACGTTTTGGACGTTTTTTTCGTCGTATGCGCATGCGCATCTTACGCACCATTTAATAACTTCGAATTTAACATACAATTAACCCTAACCCTGACCCTAACCCTAACCCTAAGGTATAAAACAGCAAGCAACGTAGTTAGAGACATGAAGAAGTAATTATTGCACTGTTTTTCCCATTTTTACGTCTGTCCGCGGATCTGCTTTTTTTGTCTGTCTGCCTGCGCATGCGCACTGATCTGTTTTTTTTTTTTTTTTTTGAGGAAAAACGTCCAAAATGTACGAAATAGTGTGCATAAGTTTTCATACGATTTCAAACGAACTGATAATGAGAATATGTTGATTGTGTTGGGCTGTGAGCACAACCCCCATCTGTGGATTTCGGGCCCTCATACCATCCTCATGGAGTCTGTTTCTAATCGTTTATGCAGACACATGCACATTTATGGCCTGCTGGAGGTAATTTTGCAGGGCTCTGGGAGTGCTCCTCCTGTTCCTCCTTGCACAAAGGTGGAGGTAGCAGTCCTGCTGCTTAGTTGTTATCATCCTACAGCCTCCCCCAAGTCTTCTGGTGGATTGGCCTGCCTCCTGGTAGCACCTTGAGCTTCTGGACATTGCGCTGAATTACACAGCAAGCCTTCTTGCCATAGCTCTCATTGATGGGCCATCCTGTATGAGCTGCACTACCTGAGCCACTTATGTTGGTTGTAGTGTCACTCTCATGCTATTATGAGTGTATAAGCACCACCAACTTTCAAAAATCACTAAAAAAAAAATCAGCCAGAAAGCATAGGTATTGAAAAACAGTCTGTGGATCTCACCTGCACAAACATTCCTTTATTGAGTTTTTCTTGATAATTGATATAATTGACAATAATTTACATTTGTTGCCTATTCCATTTGCATAACAGCATGTTAAACTGATTGTCAACCAGTGTTAATTCCTACAGTAAGTGGGTGGTTTGATTTCACAGAAGTTTGATTTGATTGAAGTTATACTGAGTTGTTTACATGTTCCTGAAATTTATTTGAGCTGTGTATTTTACATATTGGTTGATTCTTGTCTAAATAAACAGCAGATGTATACCAGAGCATAGATTAGTGTTTTTGAGCAATTAAATATCAATAAAAAAGTAAAAACATTAACTGCAAACTTAATCCATTTGAATTGCTCTCTTTTCCTTAGAGAAGAGATGATAATCCAAATGATTTTTAAACAATATTACACCAGAAAATATGACACTACCATAGTAATACAGGTGGTGAATATATACTCTTGGCTAGACAGGGACGGAAAGTTTACTAAATAGTTCCTAAAAGACTGGTCAACTTTCAATTGTTGAGTTGATATTTTATTAAACAATATAGGCATACAAATATGTACACACACCCATACAGTAGTTATAGTTCTAATATGATTTTTCTTAACCTCATGTCAATAACAGTGAGCGACAACAGCACATACAGACACGTTTAATGTTATTGTTTACCTCCGGAAGTTGTGCGCTTGTGCACAAAGCTAGAGGTAAAAAAAAAAAAGATTCTTTTACTAGCTGAACACAGTCGCGCTGCCGCAGGACGAAACTTCTGTTATGAATAAGAGGTAATGCTTTCTTTTACAGTACATGTAATAACATGGTAATAACATAGCAAATTATATTACTAGGTAACAAGAAAAACTTTATGGAGAATTTTGTTATCTGCTGTGCTTCAAATTTTAGGAAGACTTCTTTGAATTCAAACCGTTATTACCAGGTAACTCATATTTATTTTGCAGACAGCAATAAATAAATGTGTCATTATCTGGTAAAATGCAGTTTATTATTTGGAATGTAACAGAAAACCAAACCTAGAAGACGGCAAGCCAACCTACTCAACTTAACTCTTATTTATATGTAACTTTAGTTCAGTTTTATAATGCTTTATTTACCTGATCATAACTTCCAATTTACTTTGTAAGCCACAGGTACAGTAGATGGTGCCCAATAATGGAAACTTTTATGTTGTAACCTGATGGTAATCATCCATCAAAAGTCTCCATTGTTACATTTTCATATACAATTGTAATAATAACATGCAGGTTAATCTTGGGGTAATTACCCAAACAACATTTTTCTTGTTTCCAAGTACTATTTGACTTGCTATGTTACTACTATCTTATTACATGGTTATTGATGTACTATAAAAGAAAGTGTTACCCCATAAGAAACCAGTGGAAGTCAGTATTACTAATTTTCATAATCTATGTGCAAAGGAACACAAAATGTGCACAACAATTTAGCGTAAAGCTTCCAGACCTGTTTCAAATAGCTGATGGTCTGTGGATTGACAGTCCTGAAAATTGGCCCTCTGTTCAGTATGGAGATATTTACAATTATCTCATTAAAACACCAGAACTTTATACAACAGAGGCAATGAAGGTTCTGAGTCAGAAATGTTTGAAAGAGTTGCTGTGCATTTTTATGGAGTTGTTTTTTTCAATGTTTTGTGCTACCTAGCAACAAAACTGGACTTAGTGTTTAATGTTGTGTGTAGCATCAGTGATTTACATGTAATGTTCAGTGGATGAGTACAGTGTCCAGCTGCAGCCACAGCTTTGTGCATTTTCTCATAGGTGCTACAGAGGCTTTCTATATTTCCTTGGCCAGGCTCTATGGCAAAGAGCAGGCAGGTCAACCATGGCGGCAAAAAACACCAGCTTGTATATGAGGTTGAAGTCGTTCTGGTGACGGTCCACTCCCAGTTTCTCCTTGTCATCGTTCATTTTTCTTTAGTATGGCAAGAATCAAAAAGCCACTGGGCAGAACAATTCAGCAGGTTTTGTGATTTCATATTGGATTGTTGAAAACGTAATTGCAGTTAATTGATGAATCAATATTTTTGCCTCTAAAAGTAAAACAGCACAGATAAAAACTGATGGGCACTGGAATGCCTTACACTCACTTGATGGATTTTGATGCCACCACACTGAAGTCATATCGTGCATCACATCTTAACTGGATTATTATCTCTATGTGCCTCACTTGGTTTTAAACTGGCTCGGTCAAAGATTGTATGCCGTTTTTCAAGAAAAGGGGAATTGAGATTAGCGACTGTGGTAACATTGAATGAATTATTCATAAGTGAACAGCTGTCGTAAATTGAAGACTTTCAAAACAAATTCTTAATTTATGAAGAATTTGTGTTGTCAAGATCAGGATCTTGTATTTTTAAATTCCTGTTTGTGCAGAAAACAAGAGGGTGAAATTATTTAGGATAAATCTGAAAATCTTTTGACTCTACAACTGTCAGAGGTAAATATATTGGAATCAGCTGCACACAAGTTGCTTTTTCGTAATGTAAGTGAAGGTTTATTAATTTGAAATTAGTGAGGGGAAAATGCAATTAAATTTGTGAATCCATCTTCACAGCGTCAGAGTTTACTGATCCAAGCATTTCAAAATAGACCTTTTTACATTTCATCCCAAAAGTCTCCAACCAATGCTGCTTTTCTGATGCCAGAAAGATGTCTCTAAAATCAATGCAAACTGGTTAATCTTCATGTTTCTGTTGGATCTGGAGTGGAGGCCTTCAACACGGGGTCCGCAACCCCTACAGTAGGGGTCCAAGGAGCTACTGCATATGGATCATGAAAGTTTTGGTTAATTAGACTTTTTTTATATTCCCCCTGCAATTTTTCCCACTAATTGAAATGTCTTTAAAGCCACATCAACATGAATTCAACACACAGTAGTAAACAGATAAATGGAGGCAGAAGATCAGAAGACCAGTTTGATATAAGACAATTTCATACAATATATATAATTAGGGCGTCCCCGCTCCATCTCACCATCAGTTTGGGGGTCCTTGGCCTGGACCCCTAATCTAGATTAATTCACATTGAACATGTTTTTGTCTCCCAGTGAGGGTCGTGGAGGGTCGCTGCACACATTGAGCCACGTTCTGCTTCAGGTTTCATCCTGTTAAAGGTGAGGTTTCGTCTCCAGTTTCACTACATACATGCTCTGAATAAAGAATTGCAGCAAACTCAATGGTGCAAAGTAAAAAAAAAAAACTCTCTCGTAGCTATAGGCTCATCTGAATAACTTAACGTAATTTCCCAGATTTCTGTAAAGAAAACCTTTTAACTAATTGGAATAAAAACTGGAATTGAAGGTGTTGTTTTCCAACTCATATCAGTTTAAATGAAGGTAATTGACCTGGAATACATTAGTATGAATCAATCAGTTTAAAATTTTCTATAAAGGCACCTTGATTTGAGCTGGTATTGGATACATAAACTAGATTGAAATAAGTTTTATGGTATTGAATCCTCAGTAAAGTAAATGTAGTACTGATATTCACAAGCATTTATAACCAAGTCCAACCAAGTCTTAAGACAACGATTACTGGAAATGACAGTCTTACCCCTAACTGGTGACGTAGAGTCAAACAATGACCCTCCATTACTACTCTGAGGCCTTTGCATCATTTTTACAAGGTTATAAAAAGCATATTTCATAAATAACTGTGACTCATTCACCCCCAAAATGCAAGGTTATGAATTTGAATTCAATGTAAAACAGGAAAGATACTCTTAAAATAGAAATAGCAAAAGTTTTCTACAGTAAATCAATCCAGAACAGTTTTAGATCTGAACTAAATTAAAAACAAAGCGTCTTTTGAAGGTGCTTTGTGTGATTTACCAAAACTAAATAGATATTTAGTATCAGTTTAAATCATACATTGAAAATACAGTGAAATACAAAACATGCATGGAAATGGAAAATAAAAAGAAAATAATGGTGAGGAATAAAAGAAAATGTGGGATTCAAAGAGACGGAGAAAGGACAGACATTGTCAGTAGGGGCAAATTTAAAGCAAAATGGAAAAACCATGATAAAACATGGTTATGATGGCTGATAAAATGTAAGTCAATGACTTTATTTGGCAAAAACAATTTCTCATTAAAGTCCTGAAACCAGAGATGGTAACTAAGCAGATAATTTGCTAAATATCCTGCTTTTTTCCTCTATTAATAAAATAAAACAAATGTACTTTATTGTAATTAAATACATTTTATTTCAAGATAGAACAAAAGAATAAGATAAGTATGTGAACCTTGCTCTGAAAAGAACCCAATGGTTGTTTCTTTTTTAACAGCTGCACAGAGAAGTTCTGGATCACACTTCCATTTACAGTTAGCTTTAAAGGGGTAATGTTCAAACTAAAAACTAATTCTGTCGTTTTTATCATCTAGAGTATAGTTTCAGAAAATTTCCTGTAGGGGCTGCTGTTGTTCTGCCTACTTTCAACTCCCTGCATCCAGGTTCAAATGCTTAAATTTGGGAGTGCAGCCAGGACCTGTAGTTTCCCTGGCTGCCTCAGATCCTGCACACACACACACACACACACACACACACAACCCCACACACACACACAGGCTAAAACATGTAGGCCGAGCTGTCGATGAATCCACTGTCAAAACAGTTTGTGGGTCATGAAATACAAAAAGCAGCAGGGCAAGCAGAAGCCACCAGAATCCATACTGGGCTGCCATAACCGCAGCAAACGCTGCCCTCAGTAAGCGTCCAGCGGCTGACAGGAGTGGAACAAAGACAGGTGGGAGAGGAAACAGAAGGCAGAGCGGAAACGCAGCAAATACGGATGTGAAAGAATGGAGGGAAAGATCCGCAGGGGAGAAGGAATACATGCACAGAGAGGACAGAGAGACAAATGGAAAACAGGGGAGAAGGATCAAACTGAAAAGTGAAATGATGATAGGTGAAGGATGGTTGGATGATAAGTGGTGATGTTAACCAGGCAACAAGCTGAGTAATGCATGTTGTGGTGGGGGATCTGCTCAATGTAAACCACATGGGAGCAGGAGACAAAGGAGAGGACGCATGGAAAGTGAAGGCAGGTTTACGCATCATTGGAGGGAAGGAGCTCAGCAAGGTGCAGCAGGACTAAACATGACAGAATATCAGCGTTAATAAACTGCAATATGAATAACAGATCCCTCAGTATACCACAGCAAACCCCACAATACAAAAACACCATCAAGTCAAGCGGCAATTAGTCACGTATTGCTCACAGGACTGGCTCTAAGGCGTGTGTTGTGTTTGCATCACAGCAGGGGGCGTTATTCTGAAGTGAGACACGCACTGTTACAAACATGAATCATCACCAAAGTACAATAAAACCATGTTAAATAGTTTTACTGTTTTGCTTTTATGAGGTATTAATTTTAAGTAGAAAGGCAGAATCCATAAAAAAAATCTGCCATTTAGAATAGAATAGAAAAGATAATGGTCCTGATTCTTCCTTTTATTGAGATGCAAAAAAATCCTTCAATTAAAGGTACTATATAACATTACTTTTTAATTTTTATGTCTTAACTAAAGATGTTGGATTGGATTTCCAATTTTGTAATCTAAATCTTGCAATTAAGGATTGGAGAAATATGTTTTAACTTTACTGCAAAAGTAAAGTAATATAATGTAATAACAGAAGATAGAGATAAGGATTTAAAGCAACATAGCGAAAATGTATTAGTATCTTTAGACCAAACTGATCTGAAACTACAAGTGGAGCCTAAATCTTACCAAATGACAATATTCCACTATGTTTGAGAAAATGTATTATTTAGACCAGTCACCCTGACCCCACCCGATGAAGACCATGGAGGGTCTCATCCTAGCCTACCTGCGCACCGTGGTGAGCCCCACCCTAGGCATTCACCCACCTGTAGACCACCGGGAGATCAGTGAGACTCATGTCCTTTGACTTTTCCAGAGTCTTCAACACCATCAGACCAGAACTGCTGAGGGAGAAGCTAGAGGACGCTGGAGTGGACAGACATTTTGCTGCCTAGACGATTAACTACCTCACTGAATGCCCTCAGTACGTGCGACTGCACGGCTGTCGGTCAGAGGTGGCAGTCTGCAGTACCGGGGACCCAGCAGGGCACTGTTCTGTTTCCGTTCCTCTTCACCCTTTACACTTGTTGACCTACAACATGGACAGCTGCCATCTCCAGAAATTCTCGGATGACTCAGTGTATTCTCATTATCAGTTCGTATGAAATCGTACGAAAAGTTATGCACCGTAATTTCGTACGTTTTGGACGTTTTTTTCGTCGTATTTCGTCATATTTTTACGTCCTGCCTCCAGACAAGATATCCTTGCGCATGCGCATGTTACGCACCATTCAATAACATAGAATTTAACATAGAAGTAACCCTAACCCTAAGATACAAAACAGCAAGCAACATAGTTAGAGACATGAAGAAGTAATTATTGCACTGTTTTTCCCAGTTTTATGTCCGTCCGCGGATCTGCTTATTTCGTCTGTCTGCCTGCGCATGCGCACTGATCTGTATTTTCGAGGAAAAACGTCCAAAACGTACGAAATACTGTGCATAACTTTTCGTACGATTTCATACGAACTGATAATGAGAATATGTTGGATGACTCGGCCATTGTAGGCTGAGTTTCTGAGGAGAATGAGCTGGAGTATCAATCGGTCATCAGGAACTTTGTGGACTGGTCCGAAAACCACCTGTGTACTAACACCAGTCAGACTAAGGAGATGGTGATCGACTTCAGGAGAACACCCCCACCTTACTCCCTCGTGAGCATCCAGATAGTTTCAAATACCTGGGTGTTCTTGTCAATAATAACCTGGACTGGACTAATAACACCGATGCCCAGTATAAGAAGCTCCTAAGGGGGCTGAGGTCCTTTGGAGTGAGCAGCCCCCTCCTTAAAACCTTCTATGAC